ATGAAATTTGCGATTTTTTTAAAAAAAAATCCTGTGACCATGAAATTGACCAAAATGGACCGTGAATTTGGTAGGGCCCTACTTATACATCCTTACCTTTCTCTGGAGAAAGATCAGCAAGATATTAATAGAAATCTGAGAATTTTCTTTTAGAGACATTAAATTGATCACATAAGTCTCAGTTATTTCATTTATTGTAAAAGAAATTTGACTGAATTCACTCAGTAATGTATTTGACACCACTGTGTTCAAGCTCAGGTAGATATTTTCCAGACATTAATATGAAAAGTGTGCTATCATCCACTGCACACTGTAGATATCTTCATGCATTTTAGATATCTAATTATTTATAATGCTCTACTAGGATATTACCCTACTGCCGCTGATGCTAGAACATCAGGCTCCACCTGTCTGCAGATTTGCCCTTCCGTTTAGAGGGCTGCGGGCGGGGAGGATGGGGATCACATCCTCTCTCCCAGTTAAATTAAATCCATTCTACTCATTCATGGAAAAACTTTTCAATCAGAGGAATGATTTTACAAAAATAACTTGATTGCAGTGTAATGGTGAAAGGACATGTTTTTTGGCCCAAATATTGAGTTCCATTTCCAGCTCTGACACTGATGTTCAGTGTAACCTCAGGCACATCATTTAACTTTTCAGGGCTTCATTTTATCCCTGGGTAATATTGTAGATGCCTGAATTCTTATTTACCTCACAGGAGTCTTGTGAGGTTTTAAAACACTTCAAATTTGACCTTGTTAGGAAACCATTTAAAAAACCATTTCAGCTGAAATAATTGCCAGCTCTGTGTCTGGGGTATACTGTTGTTTGAATGGTTTTTAAAATCCTTTCTTGGACTATGAGGCCAAACGTCACTTGCTGATTTTCAGGAATTGTACTTAAAACTGGGCATATCATTTTGCCGGACACAGACTAGACCCATTATTACGAAGCTGGAAAATATAATTTCAAATATATGTAATTATTCCTGCAGTCAGGTGTCAGCACCCTGTTTACTGGCAAGGTAGGGAACATGAACATATTGCCACTAGCAATATAAACTTTGTCTTCTTTTAAATAGGTTTTCTACAGTCTCTTATGAATGGCCACTATTCAGATATATATTTGGGGGTGTGGAGAATAGGCAATGCTGTGCGGTTACTCTTTGCAAAAGGCTCCCTCAAACACGTCCAGCCTGAGTCTGTGATACATGTGAGTTTCCCTGGTTAAATATTCTTTCCTTCCATCGATTCCATACAATTCCCTGTTGACAATAGTAGTGGCAGGCAGATTCTCCTGCAGCCTCTAGTTGTGGGGTGGTTGGACATACAGGGAGCACATCACTTCTGGTCATAGATTCCAATGCCAGAAGGGACCATTGTGATCATCAGTCTGATCTCTTGTATAACACAGGCCATAGAACTTCTCCAAAATAATTCTTAGAGCCGATCTTTTAGAAAAACTTCCAATCCATGACCCTTGGTAAATTGTTCCAATGGTTAATTATCCTCACTATTTAAAAAAAAATTATGCCTTATTTCCAGTCTGAATTTGTCTAGCTTCAACTTCCAGCCATTGGATCATGTTGTACCTTTCTCTGATAGATTGAAGAGCCCTCTATTAAATATTTGTTCCCCATGTAGATACTTATAGACTGTAATCAAGCCATTCCTTGATCCTTAAAGTCTTGTGTGGGAGTGTGTCACCATTGGTGGGTGGATGGGGATAGGGGCCTTTGGAGCCAGGAAACTCTAGTTTATGTAGAAAGGGGTTGGGGTAGGGTAGTGAGTATCTCTTAGCTGGGGGTGATTATAAGTGGAAGCCATTTTCCCCAGGGTGGTGGTGGGGAGAGGGCAAGTGTAGGCTCCATGTTCCATTCCAGTATTGGCTCCTGAGGCTCTAGTGCCTGCCTGCCAAGCCTCAGTCTGATGAGGAGAGAGGCAAGCTGCTGTGTCTTCAGGATTGTTGCCCAACTGCTGCTTGACATCTTCTCTTGTCTTCCTTTCTCACTAGCACAGCTGGAGCAGCTGCTGTGGTGTGGGTGAGATACTGAAATTACATAGTACATTTCTAATGCTTTCCTAATAGCACTGGTGGAGTATGAAGGAGGGGAAACCCCTTTGCTACAATGGTTGCGGCTATGGCAATTATGAGCACACCTGCAATACAGCATCTGTCTGAGTGGCAGCCATCTTAGTTCTATCCCCTTGGATGGCTGAACAGTTTTACCAACACATCTGAACATTGGATTTTAGCACACATCTGTGAAACGTGTTTTTGAATGTCTCCTACTCCCCCAAACATAACTTATTCCTGTGCTCCATGATCACACCCCTAGGCATGGGGGCCAGCTGAAGGATTTTAGGGAAATGATTCTTGGAGGTATACCCCAAACTTAATTACTGATGTTTACAGTGTCTGCATTTAGGTTCCCCATGCCTCAAACTGTAGAACTGGAGTCCAGCTTTTTGTTCCTTGTGATTGATTTGCATTAGTTTACCGTTTTAGAGCTGTCTTTGCAAGGATAAGAGCTGGAGGCATTCTTTTATAAATAAAAGTTGTTTTCTTTCATGGGGCTCAGAGGCTAGCTCTGTTAAGAAAGGGCTCATATGAGCCCCCGCTGGCTCATCAGTGAGAACAGGGCGTCCGTAAATGTCACTAATCCAGTCTAGTGTAACATACAATGTTTTGAATATATTTTTCTTGACTTTTTTCCTCTGTTTCACATCTGTATATTTAATGCAACGTTATGTCTTTATGAGGTGAAAAAAGCAATAGAAAATCAAACACATGTCTTCAAGGGTTTTATGGGATTATTTTGGTCAATAGTTTCCTTATGTGTTAAATCCTTGATGCACATTCGACATCTCTTCATGCGTTGGCAGGCACTGAGAGTGCCCAACTGAGATGACTGTAAAACTGAGATGAATATAAATTCTTCCAACATAATTTGAGGATTAAGCAAATGAAAAAATAGATTAAAAGGAAGGTAAAAGAACATATGGCTTTTATAGTATGAACTTGATTGTTTCTCTTTTGCAACCTAAGTCAAGATCTGATGAAAACCTTTCTAGGACCAGCTTGGTGGGCCTCCCTGACTCCCACTCTTGGTAGTTATTGCCAAGTCCCAAAGCCATTAGCTTGTCTTTAATTGCTTAAAGATGTAAATCTGTGCTGATAAACATTTTCATACAGAGATTGTGTTCTGCAGCTTACGTATTTAGAACAGTGTGGGCTTAGCAACGTAACTATCGCGGTGCTCACTTATGGCTTTCAGGTCTTTTTAGGCTCTGAGTACAACATAAACTTGTGCTATTGTGGAAATACAGAGTTTACCTGTAAAGTGTGATTATGTGAATTCCATCTATATTCTTAATCCAAGCAGACATATTTTGTCACCAACCCCCAGATGTGTTTTTAGAAGGGGGAGTGAAGAATAGTTTAGCCAGTTGAAACTACAGGTGGAAACATAAGTATTTGCATTCTGCCAACCTGAGTTGGAATGTAGACAAAACACCAGGGATGCTTATGGGAAAAAAAATGCTATGAAATCTTTAGTGATTTCTAGCAGTACGTGGCTCTGTAGGACAAGAACATTTCATGCACTATACCTTCTGTGTGGTTCTCCCATCCATATACTGACCAGGCCTGACCTGAGAAAATCTGACAAGATGGCCTGGTTCTAGGTCAATAAACCTTGGTAGAGAGGTTGATTTTTCCCATCACTGGCATTTTAAGGTGGAATGAGTGTGATGATCACTCATTCATCAGTTGCACTTGTGCAGGTAAAATGTACCTTTCATGATACAGTGCAGTCTTTTGAAGTAGCCCCTTCACTTAATGAGGCTCATTTCCGTCGCACTCTAATTAAATAACTTACAGCCTTTCACCTGCATATTACATTAATTTGATTTTTATCATATCCTCCACTGCTCAGGTGAAAGTTCAGCCAGGTATAATTTAAGATTGAATGGTGACCATTGGGGACACATATTTATACTTTGTGTCAAGATTAGTATAGAAAACAAAGCTTAAGGAAGTGATGGGACTAAGAGGAGATGCACAGTATGTTTGTACATGGGCCTTGACTGAGGAAAAGGCCTGGAAATGATAGGAGACAAAATTATAATTGGAGGATTTAATGAGGGATGTGTTACAAGAAGAATATGACTTTATGAAAGGTATTTGAATAAGTTGGTGGGAGAGATGAGATTCAGGGGGACAGAAGGCTGCAGCTCAAAGGTAGGAAGTATTTGGAGATGCGAAACCATGGGATAGGTGCCTCTCCACCTGGCTGCGGCAGGTCTGGGGCTTGTGGGGAGAGGTGCCTCTCCCCGCTGTGGAAGGTCCAGGGCTGGGGGAGACACATCTCTCCCCGCCGCAGCCCTGAGCGGCTGCTGCGCAACTATGCAACTTAAAGGGAACGTAGGTGAGGGAGGTGAACGAAGGTGGAGTGGGAGAGGAGGAGGATGTAGTAGCAAGGGAGGAAAAGGAAAGTGCCCTCTTGATTGTATCAGTTTTTGTTTTTTGAAACATTTGGTAAGATCCTAAGCAAAGAAGGAATAGAAGGAAGTATGTTTGTGAAGAGTCAGAGAGAGGAGGCAGATGGGCGTCAGTCAGGAAAGAGAGAGGTAGAGTTCAGTAAGGAAGAGATTGAGAAAAGAGAGAGTAAACATAGTGGAAGAAGCTGACACAGTTGCTGGAGTTCTGAGTAGTATATCCACCGTGAGATATCATAAGCAGATAATGCATCATGTGCTTGAAGGCAAAAAAAAAATGTTCGCCAATATCTGAGCATATGTGCTGAAAGCAGGATTCACCTGCCAAACACCAGGTGGACTGGACACTTTCAATGTCTTTGTGCTTGTGTCTAAAACATACAACAAAAATTAATCTAGCACTTTGTTTTTTTCTTTACATATAAGATTTAATCTTTCCCCTTTCTCCGAGATACTGTTTCTGGTGTTCATTTTGTTCAATGGTTTTTAATATTTCAGGTTCGAGGGAGTAAAGGCGAGGTCCTTTATGTTCTGGATGCTAGCAATCCACGATATTCTAACTGGCTGCGTTTTGTCCATGAGGCACCATCGCAGGAACAAAAGAACCTGGCCGCCATCCAGGTAAATTTGTTGAATTCTTACCATTCACTTCATGTTATTAATCTGCTTAAGGTTTGTTTGTCTGTCTCTTGTTTAGTCTTTATCTCTTGCAGTAAAATTGCAGATTATAAGAAACAAAGCAACTTCAATACTTTTCTTTCCCTGTCCCCCCCTTTTGGGAGGTGAGTGTTTGTCCTCAAAGATGTACGATAAATAAACATCTCACCATTAACAAGCCCAAGGACTGAGGGCATTTTAAAGCATCTAGTGTAGTCTTTGAAAGGTTTTAATTAAAATCACTGATTGAAGTTTGCTGTACAGAATTTGTAACCATCTAAAATCCATTTCTCTTTCCATTTCTAAAACTGTTTATATTAAAAAAATAGTTTGAATTCATGTTTCCAGAATAGTTCACACAATACTGCTTCTGTTAGATTTTCTCTTTACAGCCCCGTTTGAGCTAGGTAGCTAAGCCTCTGTCTAACTTCAGTGGTACTACTCCTATGCTTGAAGATAAGCATGTGATTATATATCTAGCTGAATCAGGGCTAATTATTTAGGGGTTTATCCTATATTCCTCGCACCAAACTCCCACTAAAATCTTTAGGAGTGCTCAGAGAAATCAGAATTTAAAAATAATTTTCAAGCAAATAGTCAAAGATATAAAAACAAACAAAAGATATTTTAAATATTCCAGTTGAAGCTTTAAGAGATGTAATGCGTTTGCAGGATTACCAGAAGGTAGTAATTGATTAGTCATTGCAGAAGAGCTAAATGATTTTTTTTTTTTATCACTCTTCATCACAGATGTTCGCTATATCCCTACTCTTTTCAGGTAATAAAGATGGGGCATTGCCAAAAATGTAGGGGTCAAATGAGGGAGGTGCAACTTAAATATATTGTGTAGCGCAGCGATTCTCAAACTGGGAACAGTTCCCCGGCGTGCAGGAGGTGCTAGGAGGGAGGGGGAGGAGCGGGGATGGGGCAGAATCATGTCCGGGGCTGCTGGCCCCACTGATCAACTCCTCCCAGTGCCTCCAGTGGGAACCAGCGGTGTGCAGGAGGCGTGGGAGGGAAGTGGAGGAGCCCTCGGGGGTGGGGGCAGAAAGAGGCAGGGAAGAGGAGGGGCAGGGGTGGAGCTGGGTGGGAAGAGGTGGGGTGGGGGCAAGGCCTTGGGGGAAGGGGTGGAGTGGAGGTGGGGCCTGGGACTGAGTGGGGGACTTGGAGGTCCATGAAACAATTTAAAATCAAAATGGGGGTCCTTGGGTTGCTAAAGTTTGAGAACCACTGGCATAGCGTGCAAGTTGTGTACTGTGCCCACATGGATTCAGTTGGCTAGAGTGGGGCTCTGTATGGGCCTAGCAGTCTACCTGAATGCTGTATGTTGCAGAACTGAATAAAAAGTCACAAGGTATAGCTGGTTTAATACAAGAGTTATGAAATAATTTAGGAATAAAGTGCCTGAGCTGCTTACGAAACTATGTAATCTCATTAAAATCAGCTACTGTTATTAAAATCAGGTAGGTGAATGGGCAACATAATGGCAACGGAGAGTCGGAGTGGATGGCTCACTCCTGGGGTATCAGCAGGACCCAGGTGGATCCATCCCTAGAGGAGCCCAGGGCAGTGCGGCACAGAGTGGACTGTGGATCCTTGCCCTCCCTCCCCATTGCCCAGCGACTCTTGGTGCCGCAAGCTCCAGAGGATTTAAAATATATGGGGCTGCAAGCAGCTGAGTGTCCAGGCCAGGGCTGGACAGCAGTGGGGTCAGCATGCTGGGAATCCCCAGTGATCAGGGAAGGAAAGAGGGGGAGAGCAGCAGATTGCTACTGGGATAAGGCAAGGCTGGGTGGGGGAGGGTGGGGCTGCTTGTCCCTGCCCTCCCCCGAATCATTGAGACTGCCTGCCCACTCTCCACCTGTTGCCTTGCCCTGACTCAGATACCTAGCCAGCCCCGTGCCCCTCCTTGCGCCCCCTTGATAACCTTGTCGTGCTCCCCCCCAGGGGGGGACGTTCCGCTGTTTGAAAACAAATAGTTTGAATGACTCATGGCCTTTACTGGATTCTAAATTAACTCGAGCCACTCAGGAGAAATAGAGGGGCATTCCTGAGCAGAGATTTTAATTGAGCTGGCTGCAATATGCAACAATGTTTAAATAAACCAACTGCACAAACAAACACCCTAAGAAAGTGTTGGGTTAACTAACTAAATAGAAAATAATACTGAAAATATTATACAATTTGCAAACTGTATAGCCTCGCCTTGAATATTGGGTTTCGTTTTGGTCTCTCTGTGCCAAAACCAGGGAGAAATGGAAGGAGTTGAAAGATGGGTGACAAGAATGGTTAGAGGCATGGAAAGACTCCCATGTTAGAAAATATTGTAAAGATTGGGAGTGTTTAAGTTAGTGAGGAGACAGAGTGGACATGATAGAGGTATAGGAAATAATGAAAGGTAAATTGGGCGCTCCTATTTCCAAGTTGTGTTATAAGTCTTTGGGCATCATCAGTAAAGGTATACTAAAATTTCCAGATGTTTTACTGATTTGTTGTACCCTAAGGCCCCAGTACTGCACTTCATATATGTGCTTAACTTTACACAGTGTGAGTAGTCGGAGAGACTACTCTCAGTGCATAAAGTTCAATACATACGTCTTTGCAGCATTGGAGCCTTCTTTAATATATAGGATGCCAAAGCTCTGACATTTGGTGTAATTCACGAAAACCAACCCATACTCCTTTAATATGGAACTGTTTTGGTAGTCTAATGTTTTTACTGTTATGCAAATTTTGGGCCCATTTCTGTAGTTACTCCAGGCACCGGATCAATGGGAGTTCTGTTTGTGGAATGGCTCTAGTAATGGAACCCTTATTTATTATTAAAGCAAAATACAATATCTCCCTGTATAGCCTTTGTGACAGACTGACAATTTCCTGCAGTATCCTGAATGGACTTTATTGAATTAAGTTAAACCTTATTGAATTAGTCTTTGGAGTTCATTGTACTAAAAATGTAATTATGTATGTGTTATTGTACAATTGTATGTATTTCCATGGTGAGGGTAAATAGGAAAACAGCAGGAGGTTATTAGGCAAATTCACTCATGTTGTTACATCTCCATAGAAGCCACCCCCGGGAAAGGTATGCATCTACTTGTTCAAACTGGATTCTCCAGGGACCCACTGACAAAGAAGGTTTTTGGTTGAGTAGCCTGGTTTTTAAACTGGCTAAGGGCTTTCTTCCTGATGCAGTAAATGGACAGGGCCCCAGTCCACAGAGGCCCTGATCTTAGGGTACAGTTGGACTGAGCCTGCCAGAATTCATGTTAGGGTTAAGGTTAATTTTGGTAAGCTTGTTAGTATGTGTGGAGGTTTATTGTTTGTTTTTAATATGTTTTTTCTGTAATGCTTTTAAGCTTAAGAATAAAGTAGGCTTGCATAGGAAGTCTGTGTGGTACTTGTAGCAACTATAATTGTTATCCATCTCTAAAGAGAAAGCAAGCAGGCGTCCTGGGGCAATCTGTTTGTGCTGGGAAAGACACAGTGAAGGCAGGGAACTGTGCAGCCTGGAAGCACCCCTATCAGAAGAGGGGGAGATGTGGGTCTCCAGTCAGAAAGGCAATGGTCAGGGAATTGGAAACCTGAGAGTGGGTGCCCTTGCTGAACTACTCAGGGGAAATACAGGTGTGGTTGCCCTGAACTGTGGCAGCCTTCATAAAGATACTGCAATGATACTCTGTTAGACCATGTTTTGCAATCATTGTAAATAGGACATTTCTTAATTTATATCAGCAAAGTGAATTCAACTTTGATATCATTAACTCCAGTTACTTAGCTGCTGCTGCTACTATTACTGAAACTTATTACTGAAGTTACATTGCTGAAAAAGCAGTAAAACAATTAAAACATTAAAATCATTCATAATACAGATTATCTATATCGAACACAAGAGAATCCTAATCTTAATAGTTCAATTGAATAACGTGGAATATGTCATCATAATTACATAGAGTACAGGGCTAATTTTCTAATTAACAAGAGAAAATGGAATATTTAAATTCAGATGGGGTTCCAGACCTCTTGTTCTAACTGGCACATTGTAATTACCCTCATGAAACATAGAAATTCTTATAACGTTAACCTCTCAAGACATTTTTATTGTATGAAAAGGAGGAGTTCTTGTGGAGTTTGTTGGGATTATAAAGCTACTACTGGATTTTAATTTTGTCTTTCTAACCCATTGTTCAGTTTTCAGATTGTGCTGTGGGTAAATGCTCTAATGATTTTCATCACCTCAAACCATATAGTTAGGAATAAATATTTGTTGCTGGTACTTACGATGAGCTATAAAATATAAGAATACTGGTAATTAGAGAACAAAGATGTCGTAGGACAGAATGCTCTCTTGGTATCATGACTGCTATAAGCTTATCCTAACATTGATTGCAAAGGGTACTTTACAGTAGTTTTTTTTGAAGTCCATTACAAATTCCCCACATGAATTACCAGAAACCCAAACAGATGCTAAATTGCAGCTCCCTTCACTGGCAAAGCTCGTCTTTTCAATTTTTATAGAATATAGGTGGAACTTCTTGATCTAGACTGTGGGAAAAAACACAGAACCAGATTCTGTCACCATAATTATTGCAGAGTAGTATCATATAAGGCCGTACTCAACATAAGTGTGACAGAATGAGCCTGATCGTCAATTCAGTGTTTGTAGAGCAGTTCATGGTCTTGGATTTAAAAGGGGATGAAGTGTGTATATGTGCCACACACACAAATAAGATGAACCACATCGCTGAGTGGACTGGAATACGTACAGAAGAATAACTCACCCTGAGATGATTCTGTTGAAGGATCACGCTAAAGAGCACCGATATCTAGGTTTTAAGATTTGTACAACGTGCTTCCTTTTGTGCATATAAAGGGAATTTACCGTCCTGAAGACGCATTTTTTGAAGTAAACTGGTTGTGCTATGTACCTGATTTGATAGCTCAGGTAAAAGCTGTTTCTGGTA